TAAAATGGAAGTGCTGCAGGACATCTACCCATAGCAGCAAAGTCATGGTAATTCGCACTTAACATAAATTCACAGGTTTCACATGGTTCTAGTACTGTTCATTTGGAAATGTCTTTGTTTTCTGTAGAGTTCATTGATATTTTCTATCTGCAACCCTAGTGCTGAGTGCCAAAAGGTTTGGAGAATTGCAGAGATGTCATCTTCAGTAATTTTTAACGATCAAATGCAGAATTCTTAAGATGTGGCCAGTAGAAGGCAGCACACTATTTTGCTGTGAAGCAGTCCTGGTATTTTTAGGAGATACCTGAGTAAAATGGATTGTATTCACAGCCAGCCACCCAAATGTAGGTAGCTGGGCTGATTTGCACCAGGAGACATTTTTTTATCTAACTCTCCATCCTTGCTTCTGAAATTAATTTTGATGGCACTTGGACTTGCTTGTGAATAGACTTTTGAAATGTTAGAGATATGCCGAGTTTTTCCTCATTTTTTTCATTTCTGATTCAGCTCTCCTCATGGACGAGATACTGGGTTATGCTTTCAGGAACAACTCTTCTGTACTTTGGAGCAAAATCTTTAAGAGGCACTGAAAGAAAACATGTAAGCTTTAAATTTATTCTAAACCCCAAAATTGCATATTCATAAGCCGACCTGGATGGGTGGTTGAAGCGTACTTGCTGTTCCAGGCTAAGCCATATGTCTGCACAACTTTTACAGTCAAAAGTTAATCACTACTGCCTCAGCTGTGATTGACTTGTCTTCTCTTCCAGTATAAGTCTACACCTGGTAAAAAAGTCTCCATAGTGGGCTGGATGGTGACACTTCCCGACGACCCTGAGCATCCTGATATCTTTCAGCTAAATAATCCTGACAGAGGTAGGCCTTGCAGGATTGATGTTGTCTGCGGTATGTTTCTGTGACAGAAAGTAGACTGATCTGTTAATGAGCTTGCAGGTTACAGAACTTGCAGTGGCAAGTTAAGAAGACTGAGGAGGGAGATTTTCAATACGGAATTTTCAAGGGAGGGTACAAATGAAATTGAACATATTTCTACACTATGCTGTTGTGCTCCTGTGCCGCCTACAGAGGTTTTGCTGTATCTTAACAGTTACAGTTTTAGAGAAATTGCCCAACCAATATGTGATTGCTGCATGTCCATGTGCCCACTTACCCTGTTGTCTGTTTCTGCATAGCTTTCTTAAAATCGGTGAATACCAAAATTTGACTTACACTGAGGCCAATTAAAATACCATGAAAATTCTCCAAACATTAAACCATTTATTAAAAAAGCCTTTGAAGTAATTATTAATTACTTCTTAATAAATAATTTTGAAGTGCCATAACTCTACCAACTTTATTAAACTTCAGAAATTCAAAAGACCTGAAAGCCCTTGGAGTTATTTTGAGGGTTCCTTAACTTTTCACATTGTCAGCTTTGGTGCTGACCATGGATTTGTATCTACTGTACAAAGTGCATCTTCTGGGTGTTGATTAAAATGCACAAAGTGTTTGATTGTATTCACAAAACAACCAGGCATAGAGGAAACTCGCCATAGGACTTCGATGAAAACTAAGTTCAGAGATAACAGGAACATTCAAAACAAGTTTGGCAGTAGCCACAACAGTCAATGAGAAGAAAGCCAGGAGTAAATTAGATATGACCTAAGTGATCTTTTCTGTGGCTGTATTTGGCCTCTCTGCCTATGTGCTCCTCTTTGCTTTGCAGGCCACACATGTTCTCCTAGTCCTCTGCTCAGGGACTGTTGGATAACATGCCTCACGTTGGCTGTAATATATGAGCAAATTAGTTTATTAGTTTACTTCAGGACTTTGGCTCCTGCATAGAAATTAGAATCCCTTCAAAACTCCATGTAGAGCCTTTGATTTTCTGTTGTTTTGTAGGCAATGTTTACAAGTTCCAGACTGGTTCAAGGTTTCATGCAATATTATGGCATAAGCATTTGGATGATGCATGTAAAAGCCACAAGCCTCAGGTAATGTTTTAAAACTTATTTCTACCAACTTTTGTCATATTTTCCAGAAAATCCTTACTAGAAAAGATGCCTCTTTTCAGCCTGTGTGCACACACTGTCCTGTGGGGACAGACAGAATTCCTCATTTTGCATATTGGTCCAGTTTTTCAGTAGGAGGAATTAAAAATATCTAAAACTACGTAATTCTCACCAAATCGGGAATTCTGCAGGTCTAGCTATAGGTTTGATTACCTAAACAGCCTGTAACATCTACAGTTAACTGCTTCAAGTGAGGTTGAAGCTGCACTTCAGAAGGGACTTTCTCATGGACAAAGAAAGCATGCTAGCATTCACTGCAGTGCCTGGGTCTGTAAGTGCCATTGAAGAGAGTGCCCTATAGAACACCATGTTTGTTCTTTATATAGCAGCCTCATTCTTCTCTTGAGGAAAATGTTCATTCTTAAAAGGATTTCCAAACGTTTATATTAATAGGATGCTGATCCATATAGAACCTAAAACAGGACGCAGCTCAAGAAACTTCTTAAAACACACACACACATCCCTCACACACATACTGCTGATTTTCTAGAATACTTCTGTCAGATTTGGTCCATGAATAGAAAAATCATTTGAGTCTTTATCTTTCAGTTGTGGGGTTAGCCCTCTTTTGGGCCTGCTGTGCACTGATTACATTTTTCACATTGGGTAAGAAATGATTGGCCAACTTTATTTTGTAACCTTAAGGTTTCCCAAGCCTCAGGAGCATTATACTGCTGAATAATTCGCATTCTTTTTCAGGTACCTCTTAATCTAATGTCATTTGAATAATTTGCTCTCCTACCTGGTGCGACTTCAAGTGCCAAACTGAAGAAACGGGCTGTTGTTCTCTAAGGAGGAAGAGGAGAATGATTTTCCTGACAGGAGCCAGCCACAAATATTACAGCACTTTCCTATGTAACTTGAAAGTGATTCTGAGACAGCTTTTAAAAGCAGAAAGTGAATGTTGTCCTTAGGACCTGATACAGTCTCATGCACTGAGTGAAAGCTGACAAGTTAGATGGACAGAAGATTAATCCTGACTCCTGCAGGATGCTAGAGCCCTCAACATCTTGTGGTCAGAGACTGCCATGAACTGATGTCTGACCACAAACTGAACATATGTCTTCTGCCTATTCTTTTTTAAACAGTTCTTTTTATTGTTAAGCTGCTTTGTGTGACTGAAAAATATTTGGCCCATGTTGGGTTTCAATTCTTTCTAATGCACAGAATGATTGACAGTGTTAACTTGCTGTAAAGTGTCAATTAGAATAGAAAATGGTGGAACAACGTTTTTATAATCTAAGTGCACTGAGCTGCTTGGCAATGTGGCTGCCTCAGATTTTGTATCAAATCTCTGGACAATTCTGCTGTTCACATTTGAGCTATTTGGGAAAACATGTATTTTGGCACAGGACAGTTGGTTTTCTTTCCATTCAGTTATGTTACTCAGGAATGCCCTGACAGTGGATTTAAGGCAGTTTAAATTTGTTATGCTGCAGGTTGTTTTTCATTCTCTTCCTAGTGGCATAGCTGCTTACAAGTTTGGGGTTTTTTCTTCAGTCTGAATGTTGTTCATCTTAAGCCCCTTGGTACAGGGAAGCAGGTAATGAGATGTTATGTATCACATGGCCATGGCTTCTCAGAATGATTCCATATCATCGTTTCTGTTCTGTCTTTCTGTGGATGACTCGGCTCCACTCGATTCCAGTACATGATGCACCTCTATGACATATAGTACTGGCACATGGTACTGCTATTACAAAATCAGGATGGCAATAAAAGGTAGGGAAAACTAACGGAAGCCCCCAAACCAGTGTCCAGAGAACAAAACAGAACAAAATACACCAAAAAAAAAACAACAAACCCATCAAAAAAGAATGTACCTGAGCCGCCTTCTCTGAAAGAAGTGTCTGCATCTGTAGCTGTATCTCTGCTGTGCCCTGGCACTCCTATGGTCAGAGTTTTTCTCTGTTCCCATGCTAAGTTGAGCACTTTTTCAGTTTGAAACTCTTGGGCCATAAAGCATCAGTATCCAGACTTTATCACTCACCAGAAAACCTCTTTTGAGTTTCCTAAGGTTGCACAGAGGAGAAATTTGCAAGCCAACCTCTAGCTTACAAACCATAAAAATATGGAAGTCAGTTTAATTGAGCAGAGCCTCTGTTAGAACAAGCTCCCTGGCACTGGGGGTATTTATTCCATGGACTGGAATGATTTTCTAAATTTTGGTTTTGGAACTTCTCTAACAACAACAAAACAAACTGTATTTTTAAATGTAGGGCAGCTTTAACTTTTGTGGTATTTTAAGTGTCCATGTTGCAATCCTGAGAATGAAGCCTAATACATACCAGCTTTTCAAGAAAATGAGTTCCTGACAACTGCATTTCGATCCTGGGACATGTCGAAGTATATGTAAAGCTGACAGAGTTTCTTTGATAGCTCAGGATTTGTGTGAAGAGTGGTAATGCAAAATATATTCATACTTTTTTCTCCTTTTTTTGCTAGATTAAGACAACTTTGAACTAGGAAAAAACACCGATATCTGCAGGCACAGAGGGTCTATTGCCATTAGAGACAGTGTAGAAGCTTTCGAATGTGGTAAAATCCTGTCACCAGTAAATTACTTCATACTTTTAGACTATGATACAATATTATTCTGCACCTGTGGACTTTTGTGATTAGTTACCAGTGAGGTTATTCATGAGGATGCAAATAGTAAGTGAACTGTCATTTTAGTGAATGTGCCTCCTATGACCATGTGTATTGTGTGTTGCTAGCATTAGGGCTTGAACCATGTGCAGAACAGTGACCAAAATGATGACACACTGCCTAAAACACAACTGGTTAAGGTAAGAGGGTTTTTTTTAAAGTTACTTTATTAGTAGCCCTTTCCTCTTAAAAGATAGCCACCCGATCTGTCTTAGATATAAGCTAAATTTAAAGGAAGCATGTAAATACTCATTTCTAATGTGATGTAGTGGAAGTGACACGTTTTCTGGCATCTTGCAAATGAGATAAACTAATGGATGCTGTAACAACTTTCAGTTATGTTTAACAAGTCTTTCTTGGAAAGAAGAATAGCTGCTGACTGATTCAGTAGCAATAAATGAGCCTGTACACACTCAGAATTTAATTGCTTCTAGAATTTAAGGGTCTCTAAAGTGTTACATGTTATTCTGTGTACAAGAGGTAGAGTGTGCTAGCATTCAAAACCACACTTTTACTCAAAATCACAAGCCGTACATAGAGCCTGTTGGAGAAGTTACAAAAAGGTCCATTTGCAATTGGTTGTAAAACAAATTCCCAGCTAGAAAGGAGGCATCTTTGCCAGAAACCACCATGGGCCCCAGAAGTGTGTGGCATGAATGAAAGGCAGTATTTATGAATGATTCTTATACCCAGTCATCTGTCACTGACAGAAGCTGGACCTGTGGAGAAATTAAAACCTTCAATCCTGCTCAAGCCTCAAACTCAAATCCTACTCAAAACCTTGGAATTTGGAGATATGTCCAAAAACCCCCCTTTAACTCCATCACACTATTATTTGAATGTAAAAATGTTGTATAGAATAAAGATGAACATAGCAGTTAATAGTTTTACACAATAGTCAGGTAAACATCTTTTCAGTATAGCACAACTGTGAAATTGCTGCACAATATGACAAAAAAATCAGCATTATGGCAGTATAAGGATATTACTTAAATACCTTAAAAACAATTTTAAGTGGGTTTTTGAGTATTAAGCAGTTTGTAGCTGCTGATTTGAGTTTTTATGCTGTCATTTGGTACTATTTGCTCTCATCTGGTACTTTTAATGTGAATTAAAAGCTGCTATTGAAATACAAATTATTACATATTAGTCCTGATTGATACAGCATTTTCACAAAAATATCACAGACCATACAAGTTCTCATGCATCCAAGAGAATAACTGCAACAGTTGGATACAAATAAACATTGTCGGAATTGTGAAGATGGAAAATGTACGTAGGCAATATTATTAATTTATTAATGTGCAATTTTGATGTCATTCAGTGCCAAAATGTATGTTTTTCTAAATAGCACTAAAATGAGGCAAATAAAGTAGTTTTCAAATGGCAACTTACTTGTCACATTACAGTGTAAACCGATTTCAACATTTGGGTTTGTTTTGTGTGAAAACTGTTGCACTATTTTTGGCTGTATTTTCCAGCAGTCCACTGCATGCCATTTGTGTAAGGACTCTTTCTTTAACCCTTGTGAACTGTCTCACCCATTATAACCCTGGTGTTGGAATCTAGGTTTTTGGCAAAGTATTTTGTTACCTCAGTCTTGTATCGAGTTGCTGTATTTTTCAGTTTGTTACATTGATAATGATTGTTTCACTAATTAAATAATGTAAAAAAAAAGAAGAAAAAGTTTGTTTACTTCAGCAACAAATTGCATTTGGTTGTAAGCTGAAAAATGTGCAGACTGTATATGCTGTTAACAATAAAATGTTCTGAAAAAGACTAGTAAAGGTATAGAAGGAACATGTGGGCTTAAAGGCAGCAAGCATGTTTTATTTGTGAATCAATGGTAATAGAGTTGAAGAGACTTTATAGTGCACAATGTGTAGCCATTTAATAGTATAAATACAACAGAATCCAAATTTGTAACAGAAAATTGAAAAAACTTCCAAATTTGCCTTTTTTTTAAAAGTGGGATTTGTAAAGTCCAAAGAAGTGGAGACAAACCTATCCTGCTCTTTTCCTAAGAAATGTATTTTTGTTTGATGAAACATTGGAGCGGGTTGCTCCATCCCTGGCAGTGTTCAGGGCCTGGTTGGACGCGGCTCGGAGCAACCTGCCCTAGTGGAAGGTGTTCCTGCCCATTGGCAGGGGGTTGGAACTGGTTGGGCTTTCAGGTCCCTTCAACCCAAACCATGCTGTAATTCCCCATTCAAGGCAAATAAGATCCATGTTATGACTGGCAAAGAAGGTGCTTTAATTTTTCTGCAGAAACATAATTTCATGAGCAGTTGCTTGAGAGACAAATTGTAACCTACTATGAAGGCAAGACCAAAATCAGCTCATACAAAATAGGTACTTTTAGAGCTGAAAAAGAAAGCACATATCCCCTTCCTGAAATGGACTCCTTTTCCTGTTATCCTCCAGAAACAGGAAGAGTGGTTTGAGGTTTTTTTTTAATTGCTTTGTAGTGCTGGAAATCACTTGGATCTGTACAGTTTTTTTTCCAGGGTCATGTCCAGTGTTTCACTGTAAATATTTTATAAGGGAAGCATCAGTTAAGTGTCTCTTAGATCTACCAAATGGTTCTTTGCACTGATAGCATCAGTTTAAATGCTGAAATTCTTTGGAATTGCTTTCCTCCCCATAGACAACAGGATAGAAAATAAACAAAGTGAGGCATTAGGAAGGAAAGGCAACAATCGCTATATGCCAGATTGCCTCTGTAACAATAATAATGGCAGATTACAGGGGAAAAAAAGGACTGCTTTCTGCATTACAGTATTTCACTATAAGGGAACATGTTTTTGTGATAAAACACCCAAAGATGAGTACTGAAGAGCTCATTAAATGCTCCTGATGTCCAAGTCTTTTATTTGTAACCTGGGGAAGAAAAACCAAAATGAAATCTTTAAGAAGTTTGTTCCTACTTTAGATGCCAGGCTGTCCTGGGTATGTGAGTGAGGGCACTGGTAAATTGCATTGATTTTTGTTCTGAAATCAGTGATGGTGGTTGTATTTCCATAGCTGTGATCTACTACTGTGAGCATTTATTTACCAAATCCTGAAATTCTCTTTGCTTAGGGGGAACATAAAGAAAAAAAGAAGTCAAAGTTCACATGTCTCAGCAGACTTCAGATGTGAAAGTAACTCAGATAAGCATGTTAGGAAGGATGAAAACACCCATTTTGCGTCACAGTTCTGCATAAGAAAATGCAGATAGTAATGAATTGGAGGAAGTATCCTTTTTATTTCTGGCCTTTGCCTGTAGCCGTGCTCTTACTGCCAGAAATCAGCTTTTCAGATTTAAGGAAGAGTAGATTATGTTCCAAATGATTACTTGCTTCTGATGGTCCCTGCTTTGGGTTTGCAAGCATGTTGTAAGCAAGTAAAAAGTAAGCAAGGTCAGAAAGCAAATCCATTTGTTGTAGTGTACGTGTAGAGAGAAGTCTGTCCAATTCTGCAGGATAGAAAAAGTAAGTAAGCAGCTAGATAACTTATTTTACATCTGATTTATTAATTGATAGCACTAAATAAAATGACTTTTTGAACACACAGGAACACTGTAGAACCCTGGAAACATTGGAAGGTGGTTGTAGCAAAATGGTTACCGTTGCTTGCAATTATGCAAAACTGGTTATGTGAACCTGTTTGACACAAACACAATGAATGTATGCATTGTCTTTTAGAAGGTAACGTCATGGGGCAAAAGCAAGGAAATGCAAAGCAAGGTGACGGGCAGCCAGCTGGTGCAGGAATGAGTAGGTGAAGATTAAAGAAAAAAAAAAAACAAACAAAAAAACCCTTTACTTTCTTTTCAATTACAAGATGTTCTTTGCTGCTTTCAGGTACAGCATACTCGGAAGTCCAACTAGTCCTGCCTGCATTGTTTAATAGCACAATTGTTTTAATTCTTTTGACAGTTGGGAGTGGGGAGGAAATAGTTTCTATTTCGCTTATCAGCCTCAAAGAGGGTTGCTGAGGAGACTTCGATCTTCAGATCATAAGGGTGAATGCAGGTGGCAGAGTAAAAGCGTGTGTTTGCACAGCTACTGAGTTACAGAAGTTACTTAGCCATTACAAACACCATTTTTGCAGCCATGTTTTTGGATCACTCTGTGAAGCCCAGCACCTAGTATGTTGTATATGAGAGTTAATATAACCTATTGTTTTGCATAAATTGTTTTCTACAGAAGCATTGCATGTGCTGAACCCCTCCACAACCAGAGAGGGCTTCCTAGGTCTTACAGCAGCACAAATAAGGAAGTTTGCATGCCAGTTCAGATGTAACTAGTTTATAAAGAGCTAAAAAGTTTTATTCCCCTGTGTGTATTTTCAGAAAGAGAGAGGTAATGTGGGTCACACACAGACAGGGAGCAGAATTCACACTTGGGCTTACCCCACACTGCTATCCTTGGAGTGCACTATGAGGAGCACAGGGCTCTATCAGACCTAAAGAGATCACCAAGTGGTGAGTCTAAAGCTTTTCTAAATTTGCGGAACTGAGTAAAGGGGAAGAGAAGAAAGGGCCCGAAGGGGGAGGTGCATGGCCTTTTATTATTTCTCATGAGCTACTTCACTTTTGCTTTAAGGTAAATGGGCCAGGTGAGGCCTTTCTGTCTGAGTGGACCCTTTAGTCTCCCTTCTTACCTGTCTCTGAAGTTCACTGTTTCTCTCTTACCTTTCACCGTGCAGAATAAATAGAAATGCTCAGTGAACTTTCTGTTTCCACAGAAACTTGTCAGCGTATTTCAGGATGGTTTTTAACATGTTCTAACATTCTGCTCTCTCTCTAGTTAATTAACAATTAATATAGCCACCAAGAAAAGCTCTGCCAGGAAAGAGGGACACATCAGTACGAAGTCCAACTGATAGTGGCCTGCTTCCTTCTGTTGGTGATTTGCATGAAGTCACAACGAATCAGACTGAGAGACGCCTCTTGCTGACCCCCACTCTTCCTTCAGCTTAATAATCTCCTGACATCCTGATAGGGACCATGAGAGGAGACCTAGAATGGAGATTTCACTGAAGAAACTGCACGTCAAAGGTCAGTTTAGACGTTTGGAGCCACCTCCATCTACAAGGTGACACAGTTCCTTTAAAAAAGGACTCTAGGCATGAGCACAAGCCCTTTGGAAAATCCAGAGTGCCCAGCACAAACAGCTGCAGCTCTGGTGTTGTGCTACAGCTCTATGAAAGTAAATGTGAAGTCTTAAAGGTGAAGGACTTTTTGCTAATAATAACTTGTTTTGTCATGGTGTTGGTGGGGGCTTGTATTAGTTTTTGGTCGGTTTTTTTTAAGTAACTGGCGGTCCCAAACGCTTGTTGCTTTCAGAGTCACCAGCCCTTGCTGGTCTGACACGTTCTGTGTCATGGGCTGAATTGAATGCTGAGACATGGAGACATCCACAGCTGAGCTGGATTCTAGGCCTAGTTTATGTCTTTTCTGTAGAGGGAAAAAAATGAGGAGGAGGGAAGCAGAAATGTGTGTTTGTAGCAGAAATATGAAACATAACTGAAATTGCACAGAGGCATAGGTGGATTTTGCAAGAACAGATGTGTAGAGAAGGTAGGATGAGGAAAGAGTAGGCTGTTGTTAAGTTCAGGAAGAGAAAACTATGACAGAGCGGTTGCTTAACTATCTGAAACAGGTTATTTAGCAAGAAAAATTGTTTGAATAAAAGCCAAAAAGAATACCATAAAGATGAAAACAAAGCTGCTGCCTGGCTGTGCTACTTCATTCCTCTTGGTAATTTTGTACGGTACAAGCGTAAGATAATTCCACTTTTGTTTCTGCCAAGTTTCCCTCTTTAGTTTATGCTTATTGGTTGCAGTCACCAAAGAAGAGTGTGCCACTAAGTGTTACAAATTGCACTGTCATTACCTAAAGAACTTATACTACAATTAAACAAAACCTAAGTGCAAGATGGTATAAAACAAAACAGAGTGGAGAAGATGGTGCCAATATTTGATTTCCTTTTCAATAATGGAAATGTGAATTACTAGCATAGGGAAGTGAGTATTTAAATAAAACTTGAGTATTAGGAAAACACAGTTGACAGCCAAAACTGACAAAATTCTGCTTAGTATGAGTCTCTCTTGCGCATAGAAAAGCTGCAGACACCTAGTTAAAATTGTCTTAGTACTGACTTTTCTAGTTCTCACACTAAAACCAAGAAATGAGTCAGGTGGCTACAAGTGTTCACCTGAAAGTTCTCCAGAAGTGACTGAGTGTGCACTGCAGCTGTTGCTGCTCAAGTGCTTCACAACCTGAACCTACTTGAGAGAAACAAAACAAGACTGTAGTGCTTTTAGGGCAGGTTCCCTTTTGGTATTAGTCGACTGAAGAGTATAATTAATATTAGGTAGCTGTAGAACTGTTCACTCTAAACTATTTAAAACAAACATACAGAAATTCAAAACCTTACCTAAAGGTCTTAAAACCTTTGCTTTTAGTGATGGGGGGAGTTATTTATTAGTGTGTTTTTGAAACCTTTGCTTTCTGTAAATGAGAATTTCATAGATCATGATCATTTCATACTGACATTTATTGCTTGTACTGCTGAGCATTAACAGGCTGAATTCAGGGGAGATTTGACTGCACTGTTAACTACACACTGTAAGTCCACCACTTTTCCCAGGAATTAGCAGATCGGTTCCATGAACTCACATACATAGGCCACTTAAAACTGCCCTGTTCCAGTCTGTGTATCTAGCACCTGAACAGTCTCTGGGACCAGAATGACAGCCTCAGCCCCACTGAGTATTGAGTAGTGTGTACTGCACTTTGAGTAATGTGCACTGAGTAGTGCGTACAGCCTTCTCTCTCAGAAGCACTAACTAGGCAAATCATGAAATGGCACTTTTATAACACTCCCTGCAGTTATAATAATAGCATAAGTTACTGTCAGTCTTCTTCAGCCTTTGAGAAGCTTTTGTAATGAAAGGTATGACTGAGGTCAGAGCTCTCCATCTGCTTTCTGAGAAGAGTGAAGCAGGAGTTGTTCTTCCATGTGTCAGCTCACGTCAGTATGATGAGTGTTACGAGAAGTGATAAGCAAGTCAGCAAAGTGATGTTCTGGTTACTTCTTCCCCTCCCTTGCCCCCGAGCTGACTTCTGAAGTGGAAGGCAAGCAGAAATTCAGACTCCTTTTGCAAATAGTTCCTGTAAGGACTTGATAAATAATAATAATATGTTTTAGAATTCAAGGAAATTTAACAATATACATGTTTGAAAATGTTGTCTTAGTGGTTCTGCTGACAAAATAGGCTCCAAAGGGATCAGAATTTCTAATACTGAACTGTGGCAAAGGGAAATGGCTATTAGTCATGTCATAAACAGTTTTGCTTAGTATCAAAGTTACTGATGGATTCCTGAAGCTAGCTTACTTGTTGTTACCTTGTTTTACTTGAAAAAAAGACCATGTGTGTAAAGACTTGTTAACATTGCCACTGCAATTGCATGGCAGTGTTACCTAAAGGGCACAACCACGTTACACAAGCAGCTACGCTTTAAACAGAAGCTGGAGTGGACACTTCTTTCTGGTTGTGTTATTCCCAGGCAATGTTGAAGAACTTCTAAGGTTGTTGAAAACTGCATCTTTATTCTGTTGATTTATATGTATCTATTTATTTTGCCATAACTGTGCTGACACAGGATGGTAGATAAACAAGTAAACATAAATAAGAGTAAAAAATTGCTGGGGAATGTTTATTGTTCCCCTTGAGGTGAATTAAGCACATTTGTGCTTAATTATAGAGGGATTTAATGAACAGGGCATTGGACATTCCAGCACCATAAACAGTTCTATGAGGAGTCTGCAAAGGTACAGCGTGAGCCATGTTTGGATGTGCATTTGTGTGAGCATTGATACTGTGAGTGCTGGCACACACATGATGTGACAGTGACTGCAGCTTTTCTTATTGGCAAGGGAGTTTTTTGCTTAGATGGAGTCATTTTGTTTCTGGTCCCTGCTCCCACACAGATTACCCAATTGACAGTTAGGCCTTCTTGCCCTCCATGCCAGATCGTTCCTCAGTCATGATTTACCACTGCTGAGTAATGGCTACAGTTTGAATTTCCCCTTTAAAATACTTCAGCTGTAATCAAGCTACCACTGCAATTTCCCTTTTCCCATCTAAGACAGCTGAAGATGTGTATCTTTGCACAGAAATAAAAGTTATTTAAAATAAAAATTGCAAGCACTCCTATTTAAAGAAGGAAGAGGTTTTTTTCTCTCTGAACAGCTAGTAAAGTAGGCAAATCCAGGTTTTTCCCCAAAATAAATCATTCCGTTCTTCATGTCTGCTTCCATTGAAGTTACTGTTTGTGTTAGTTACTAATACAGCCCCACCAGCCCATCGAGTGTTGACTCAAATTACGTAACAGCCTTCCAGTACATAAAGGTAGGCCTTACCAGACATCTGGAGAGGAACTTTTTACAAAGGCACGGAGTGACAGGACAAGGCAGAATGGCTCTAAAGTGACAGAGGGGAGATTTAGCTTGGCTATAATGAAGAAGTGCTTCCCTGTGAGGGTGCTGAGGCGCTGGCACAGGGTGCCCAGAGAAGCTGTGGCTGCCCCATCCCTGGCAGTGTTCAAGGCCACGTTGGACAGGGCTTGGAGCAAGCTGCTCTAGTGGAAGGTGTCCCTGCCCATGGCAGGGGGTTGGGACTGGGTGAGCTTTAAGGTCCTTTCCAACCCGAACAATTCTATGATTCTACATCCACCTACTGTTTCAGACACCTTCTGTGGTAGATTTAAGGTTGATGTGATGAAATACTAGGTTGGGGTTTTTTTGTTTAACAACTGTGCACACAATTGCTCTGTTGATTTTGCGTCACTAGAAAGTGAAAGAATTTTAACAGAGGAAGCTTACCCGAAAACGCCCCAAAATTGTCATCTATCATTCTCTCAGTTAATAGAGAAGCTGACATGGTAGAAACATCGGCTGAAATGTGTATTAATTCAAGTTGCTTATGTGAGAAAATAACAGAACAGAAAGCAAATTGATTTGCTGTATACAGGAAGCTAACAAAGTTGTGGGATTTCCCCACAGGCTGACAAAAGTACTAATAGAATTGTAGAGGAAGCAGATGCTGGGGAATGAGCAAAGTTCCAAGGTCTCTCATTTCAGTGGAAGCATAAAGCAGAATTGGACCAGTGGAAAGCATGAAGTGCTAGATGAAGAGGCTTGAAACTGTGAGTAAATGCACTGTCGTTTGATTCCTCTTATAAGGACGGCATGATTTTATGTGTTTGAAATACCAAGATTGCACATAGCAAACATGAACTCCATTGTTTACATAACGACTGAAAAATGTTGAGGTGTTATTTAACTATTCCAGGCAAAATGGGTGTCGGATTTAGAATGTTTCAGTAAGAACAAGATACTAAAAACAAGGCTTTTATTTTTTTGTGCAAGTAAGTGTCTTGAACTGTGTTGATATAACATACCTTGCAGTAAAAATTTGTCTTCCAGTTTCTTCTCCGTCCTGCAAGTGGTATTAACCCAAACAGGCAGAGAAGGTCCAGAGTCGCTGAAGTATTTTTAAACTCTTTTAAAGAGGAAATATATTTTTCTGCTTGAGAGCACACAAATATTTCATTTAGTAACAGAGACCACAGTGATATCAGACACAGTCGTTTGCTCAGCTTATTATTATTAAGAAATATTATATTATTAATTATTATCTTATATAATATTATTATTATTAAGAATATTATCTTATATGAAGTGAGGCTTTGCCAGGATATGTTCATTTGAACAGAGAACAGTACAAAGCAGTGCAATGAGTACCTCTTAAAAACTTCACAAGTATAATCTTTTATCAGAATGACAGTGGGTAATTCTGCTTAGAAATTACTGCTTTGAAAATAGTTGAACTGCTGCATTTTTTTAAATGAACTTGAACAACAGAAACAGCATTTTTAGTCCCTTGTTCAGTGGACATCAGGTAGTGGTTGCAGCCTGTGGATTCCAAAAGAAGTGGCACAAGCCTGAACCCAAAATCATATTTCATATTTGGGAAATGATGCCCTTTCTTGGAAAATCAGCGTACTTCCCTTTGAGCAGGTCAAGGTGAAAAACAGAAATGGATGAAAGTTAGGAACCACTGGAGGTTTCCAGACATGCCTCTCTTTGAGGAGAAAACACTAGATTATTTAAAGAGAGTACATAGATCTCTGTGCTTCTGTCGTTTTTATAGGCTACTTTATGTAAAAGGGACTTACTTGTTTCTGTATAGTAACTGTCTGTAAAGTTTTACTCACAGTCATCATTCATGCCCTAGGAGGCCTCTGGTTTCCAATAGGAATGCTAGTTTACTTTTCTTCCAGATCAAATGCTTCATAATGCTTTTGGCATGCTAAACCTGCTCATTGTTGTTAGTCTAAAAATAAGCTATTAGGATGAATGTGCATAGTCCAAATTGGGAAACACATGCATACAAAATTCATGAAGAGAAACAATATCAAAAGGTTGCTTGCACATAGTTGAAACAAATTGTTTAACATACAAGACATGAGATGCAAGGGAACATTTGAGTGAACTTCCTGCCTTATGTAACTTACATGTAAAACTAAGATGGAGACTTCTGTGCAGATGAATTTACAGGAATTGCTCTCTTTTTGTATTGGTGAGAAAGCAGTCCTTGCCGTGGGTGGATTTTAACATTAGGTCTTTATTGCAGGAAGAGAATACTGGTTTTCTAACATTCCTTAAATCTTAAAAATGCAATTTTATGTAAATTTCTCAAGCCTGATTTAACAGGAAGTCTTTGAGGTGTATTTCTGCCTGGTGTAAGACTGTCAGCGGAAAACATTTTTCACCAAAGCAATGTCGTGGTTGTTGCAGTTAGCATCTATATCAAAAAAAAACCAAACAACTGAACACTGTATTTCTGTAAATAAAAGTGACAGGGATTAATTAATGATGAGGAACTTTATTAGTGCCTTATTTCGTTTCACCACTCCATAAATTTGTCCCATCTCTTATGCAGTAAATTATCCTCCCCAGAAAAGTTTCTGTCAGGATTCTGTGATTATCTCTACCTTCCTCAGTCACTTTGAGTCGTACTGAAAACAACGGTGGATTTAGAACTGTGGTCTGAGCATCTTTAGTGGCAAAAGCAGTTTACGTTTAAGGTAATCTCAGCCCTCTGAACGAGTGAAAAGGTTCATTTCAAACCTCTTTTCCTAGGTAACATTGACTAACACAAGATCCTACTACGCTCTGAAAACATTTTCTTTGTGATTTGACAATTAGGAGACTGAGAGACTGTGACAATACAAGAAAAGGCAGTTTGAATGATAACTCTACAGTTTCACAAGCTTATTGGAATACCAAAAGATAGAAATTGTGGGTTTTCACTAACATAAAATTTCTTCCAGGCCTTAAAGTGATTCAAATTACACTGTATTACCATTACTATTTACTAAACCAGCTGAAACTGTTGCCCTGGGCTCAAATGTAGAGTAAAATATAATAGAGTTTGGAGTGCATTCCAAACCTGTATGAAAAGCCAGGCTTTCATACTGAAGTATCAAAACAGTAACTACTGTGTTTAAGAAAATGCAGTTGAATACAAAACATTTATTCTTTTTGGCAAATACTGAAAATGAAGGGGGGGGGGTGTGTGTTTGTGTTTGTTTTTTTTTACAGAAAGTGAACAGAAAACTGAGTGTAAAGACCTGTGAAGTTCCAAAAACGTGAAATTTAGCAATGATACACTGTGGAAAGAAACGTATTTGTGCTGTTGCCACATGTATTCTTATTTTTGCAACTGGTTTAATCTCCTACTGGAAAGATCCTCAGCTACAGAATAACATCGCCAGAAATATCTTCCCCCAGGCAACAACAGCCAGTCCAGCAGGCCAGCTTTGTAGGGGTAAACCTGCTCAAGGTGTTATAACACCATTAACAGATAACAGAACTTTTATTATATCCCCATACTTTGACAACAGAGAAGGCAAAGTCACTCGTGTGATTGGGATTGTTCACCATGAGGATGTAAAAGAACTGTTCTGCTGGTTCTGCTGTCAGCCCGATGGAAAGATCTATGTATCAAAAGCAACAATCGATGTTCACTCAGATAGGTTTGGGTTCCCTTACGGAGCAGCAGATATAGTTTGTTTGGAACCTGAAAACTGCGACCCAACGCATGTATCCATTCACCAGTCTCCACTTGGAAATATTGACCAGCTGCCAAGCTTTGAGATCAAAAACCGCAAGGCTGAGCCCTTCCCTGTTGACTTCACTGTGTGCATCTCTGCCATGTTTGGCCACTACAACAATGTCTTGCAGTTTATACAGAGCATGGAGATGTACAAGATTCTCGGGGTACAGAAAGTGGTGGTCTATAAGAACAACTGCAGCCACCTGATGGAGAAAGTCTTGAGGTTATATATGGAGGAAGGAACTGTAGAGATAATTCCCTGGCCAATAAACTCACACCTCAAGGTTTCTTCTAAATGGCACTTTTCTATGGATGGAAAAGACATTGGCTACTATGGACAAATCACAGCTCTAAATGACTGTATATACCGTAATATGCAGAGGAGCAGGTTTGTGGTTCTTACTGATGCTGATGAAATAATTCTTCCCCTTAAGCACCCAGACTGGAAAACCATGATGAGCAGCCTGCAGAAACAGAACCCAGGGACTGCTGTTTTCCTCTTTGAGAACCATATCTTCCCAGAGTCCGTCTCCACTCCCATGTTCAACATCTCATCCTGGAATACTGTGCCGGGTGTTAACATATTAGACCATGTTCACAGGGAGCCTGACAGGAAAGAAGTTTTCAATCCCAGGAAAATGATAGTTGATCCACGAAAAGTGATTCAGACTTCTGTCCACTCTGTCCTCCATGCTTATGGGAACAGCGTGAATGTTCCCATGGATGTTGCCCTCATTTATCACTGTCGGAAGCCCCTTCAAGCAAACCTTCCCAGAGAATCCCTCATCAGAGATACAACACTGTGGAGATACAACTCATCATTAATTACGAATGTTAACAGGGTTCTACATCAAACTGTACTGTAAGCTCAAAAGTGAAACCTCAGTTATAAGGAGGGAAGGTGAAGAGCTGCCTGTGTCGTGGGGAGGCAGGGGAGATCATTTGAAAATCATAAAATGAAATTCACTTCCACGTGAAGTTTAGACCTCACAGAGGTTTAGGAGAACATCCCTGCTACATACTATACAAAGGTGAATGCTTTTGATTTGTGAACTGAATCAAGGTATCGAGGGAAGAGATTTTCAAAACTGAAAAAATCATTTGATCCAAGGATGGTTGAGGCCTCAGCCCACTACTTTTCAGTCCAGTTTTGTGGGGATGCTTGCACATGGTTGGGAAGGGCCTGATAACATTGTTGTTCCATCAGTGTGACATATGTCATAGCAGGGATACATCCTTCTGGAGATACACATCTTTGGCTCTGAAACTTAACTGTGTTGGGTTGCTGCAACTTTAAGTGCAGCAATGAAATTTAAAGGTGTTGCAGTAGGCATTTAATGCCATGTTCTCTCCAACAATAAATGCACTGTGTATTTAAGATGATTGATTACTCACAGGAAGAAAGGTCTGTAACGTACGGCCACCACCAGAGAAAGTCCCATCCTCATACAGGGTCTTATATGAATGTATTTTGTTGTAGGAATGATTCAACTACCAATTGCTGTCTCTAAAAAGTAAAAGTACCGGTGTCAACGACTGGGTTTATCACCTTCAACTGTCAAATTTTCCTTTGCTTTTTCACAAGTGATTTCCATCTGGAGCTCGCTTCAGCTTTTCCATTTCACATAAGTTAGCGAGGAGGAGTGACCGGAGCCCTCCTCCTCCCCTCTCCCTGCGCACTCGCGCTCCCTGTGCTGTTCATCCCATGCGGGGCGGTCCACGGCGCTGCCGGCACCGGCCGCCGCGTTGTTCCAGCGCCCGGTTTTGCGCGGGGCATCCCCCATAAACGCATCGGGGAACCCTCGACGGCGGCGAGAGCGACCGGCACCAGGGCTGCGCTGCCGGGTGACCCGCACCGTGCGCGCCGTGCCCCGGTGCGCAAGCGGCAGTCCCGCCCCGGCAGGGGAGGGGCCCGCGGGGTCAGCGGGGCTGGCAAAGCATGGGGTGAAGGGGGCCCTGGTGTGCGGTGCTGCCCCAGTGTCGTCCCCCCCCAGCCGATCCCGCAGGATGGAGGACGCGGGGAGCAGCGGAACATGAGGCACATCCGTGTGGTCGCACCGCGGAGGGTGTCGGGCTGCGGCTTCTGCTCAGGATCCGGTGACCGGCATCGCTCCCAATAGAGGCTCGGCGGGCTCGGAACCTTATTTCTACTCCAGAAGTAACAAATCAGATGGTGCTCAGCTGTAGCGTTGTTTTTGGGTACTGATGCTTAACGGTAAGTTAAAGGTGTACGTTAATTGCGCAACACAAGTTTTTGAAGTCTCACCCTCCAAACCTGGAGTTTAATTTTAGATTTAAAGAATGTGTACTTCCTCACGAGAGCGGTTTCAGCCTGTGTTGTAGGCAGCGAAGCACCACACAGCTGTTCACTCGCTGCCTCCGTCCTCCACCCCCAGCAGGATGGGGAAGAACGTCGGAAGGGCAAAAGTGAGACAACTTGTGGGTTGACATTATTTAAGAGGTAAAGCAAAGCTGCATGGACAAGCAAAGCAAGATAAGGAATTTACTGCTTCCCATCGGTAGGGTTTTAGCCATTTCCAGGAAAGCAGGGCTCCATCACAGAACAATGATTTGGGAAGACAGATGCTATAATGCTGCATATCTCTCCCTTCCTCCTTCTTCCCCCAGCTTTAACTGCTGCCACAGCATCTGGAACAGGCCTTTAGTTAGGCTGGTTCAGCAGTCCCGGCTGTGTCCCCTGCAGACTTGTGCTGCCTTACGCCTGGGAAAGGGAGGAGGGAACAGTATGAGAAACAGAGGTGGCCATGACAGTGTAAGTAAGCACTGTTCAACCTCAGCTCAAACATCCATGTGTTCAAAATTTGGTCACAAATCTAAAACACAGCCCCTTACAACCTGATAAGAAGAAGATTAACTGTGTCCCAGCTAAAACAAGTGTAATGTGAAAGACACACAGCTGAAAGAACAATCTTAAACGTCATGCCTGAGCAGTTGCTCCTCAAAGGACACAATGTCTGATTGTTTACAATAGCAGAAACTTGCCTAGGGGATGTACAGTGGATTATAGTGGAGAAGTTTATGACTGCACAGGAAAACGTGTGGTTTGTCGGTTCCAATGGCACAAATTAAGTAGATGGCAACAGTATCTGGCTTCCCTTCTTGTGTTTAGAATAGAAAGGATCAGCTTAAACTTTTTTTGGAGAAATATTTTAGGAAAAGTGGGATAATACTGCACTCAGCTTAATAGCATCTGACTTTGGGTTGTATGAGAGAGGAAGGACGCTGGTGTTTCAGAGAGTGTTCCTGAAAAAAAGATTAGCTTCCAAAAGATTAGCTACAGACAATCTAGGTAAAGATGGTAAATGATTGCTAGTCTTTGGAATTTCTTATTTAGTTACCAGTTTGTTACTTTTGGTGAAAAACATAAACCAGAGGATAGAGAATAACTTGTTTCCAAAAATAAGAAATTAATAAGGCTATTTGTTAATGGTGACTTTTTAGTTAGGGCCTGGATAAACCAAGGATTAGGCTGTTTCTTCTTTGTATACTCTTGAATCTAATACTAGATACTAGGGACTGAAACTTTGCAGTCACGTCCTCTGAATTGTGCCCCATCCTCACCCTAGATAGGGAGATAACTGAGAGTTACCAAAAATCAAACTCGGTGTAGGCATTGCAAAGATACTGAAATGAGCAGCACAGAAGGTCTTCAGCTGTCTCAGTGCAAAGAAAGCAAATGACAAAGGAAGGCCACAGTGCAGAGAGCATGTGAGGGAGATTAGACCTTGGAGTGGCTCTTGAGCTAAATTAGCACTTTGTTCCACCTTAAGGACAGTTCTAATTGTGGATGGTTAAGGGAAGATGATGGAAACAAAAGTTTGAAAATAGAAGTTGCACAGCAGAGGTAAAAACAATACTCCAATTGGAAGGTGATACTGAATAATTTCCATTCCAAAATTCTAAGACACACAGGCTATTAAAGAACCTATAATGGGTGTTTAATAAATGTTCATGAGCATAGTGGTGCAATGTGGCAAAAGAAAGGATGAGTGGTTCCTTGGTTTAGGGAGGGGAAAACCCATGATTTAGATATATACAAGTTTGTAAGTACAGTCTTGGTCACACACAAGGTTTTGGAATGGGTTGTAGAAGGACTATGGCAAAAGAAATGAGAAGTGTGATTAATTTGAGCAACCTGATCTACTGAAAGGTGTCCCTGCCCACAGCAGGGGCTGGAACTTGGTGATCTTTAAAAGTCCTGTCCAACCCAAACCATTCTGTGACGCTCTGATTCTAACTGGGGCAAGAGATCTTCATTAGTATGACCTTGCCAATGAAGAAAACACATTGTGTAACTGCACCCAGCTGAAAGACTGGCTAGATGTGTTAATCCTTGGCTGATGACAAGATTACATCTATCTGTGCAGTATGATCCATCTGCAAAAAAATATAATCCTAACGTGTTTCCAGTAATGATAAGGGCTTGTTGCTGTCACGTACAGGTGGACAAGGAACAGAGATTTCTGGTCTCCTGTGCTAGAGGTTAATTGAAACTGGGCCAACAGCGCAGAAGCAGCTGTGCAAAGAGTGGTTCTTAAGAAATGGTATTAGAACTGCCTGTCTCATTTAATGGAAAAGTAGGAGGTGATCTGACTGCAGTCCGTAAAGGCACTAGGGAGGAAGAAAGGCTCTTTACCATTAAAGGGAATACTGAAAAAGAACAAACTGGTGCCAGGTAGCCGCTGATGCCATTAGCTAAATTGACTGTTAAAACAAAGCTCTGTAATTTAGATCATGTTCTGTCTGAATAGTAATTGGGATTAAAAGACGCAAAACCAGAATGAATTATAGTTGTTATTCTCATTATAAAATAAACCCTTCTAAAGATGCTGGAAACATATTTTTTGAAGTTAAAACTTGCCAAGTACTCTCCATAGTGAGGAAACACAAATGTAATGTTCCTAATTAATCTGACTTTATATCTGACTACACATCTGTGCTGTTAATTTCAAGGGACAAAATTCATGCGTCACATGTTGGGAAAACCATTAATGTCACTCAAATAATTACATGCTTCTTTAAGATTCTGTGTTCTGCTGTGTCTTGAGTTCTGTATTTTGCTCTTTCTGCTTCTAGAATCTTCTGTTGTTTCAGATATCTCTCATACTTACTCATCTGTATCTACCTATTTTAATTAGGCCTGTAGGATGTTACTAAAGAAATGATTGCCCAAGAAGCACTGATATATAGTACATTTTTCTAGTTCTCTTGAAGTATGTGTGTGAACTGTGGCTATGTCAACACGCAGCATTCAATCCCAGAAGATTAAGTAGCCTGAAAAAAAGTCCCCCAAGTGCTTGGTTTGATTTGCTTCAACAACCCCACACTCAAGTTTGTAATTTATAAGTTAATGGGAGGCAACTGTGCTTTACACAAGAGAAGGAAAACTTGTTTTCCCGGTAGGTGTGGCAGCTGTTACTGATATTAAAGAACACCAAGCATGGAAATGAAATGTATTGGCAAGGTATCGTACCAGCAGTTTTTGCTTCAGTGTTCTTCTGAATTGAATGACTCTTGGAGTTTCTCTTAAAAACATTGAAGTTTTTGCCTGGTTACAATAAACAATCTATAGATCATACCTTAGCAAAAAATAAATGGAGGACTGAACAGAGCTTCACTCGTCTATCTGCTTTAAAAGGTACTTTTTCCATTCTGATGTTCGCTGCTCAAAACACTGTTGAAAAGATATAATTTTAATTGTTTGTTATTTATAGCTAGCAAAAGCAGAAGAAACAACAGGTAATAAATGAAATTGTATTATTTAATGTTGATAATGAATGATAATTCTCTAGTAAAAACTATTTACAAGACTGAACAGTATTTTAAATCATAAATAGGTAAGACCGAGATACAAATGTTGAATATGACCTACTCTGTGCTGTAAGAATGGTGGGAATGAGAATGTTCAGGGGAAACATTTTGTTTAATGAAACCATTTGTGTTTAATGAAAGGACTTAGAAAATTGAAGTTGTTCTCAGTCACAGATCTCAAGCAGAAAGTTGTGTGACAATGTCAGGCTCTTACCCTGTATCTGCAGTTCTGCTCTAAATTTTAAGGACTTATTGGGGGGATACTTTAGATGAGTCAGTGCTGGCAGCTCTGCTTTGTGGCTAGTGTGATGTAGTGAGATTTCTGGTGTAAAGCAATTGCTTGGTGGCTGGGAAAGCCTGCTATAAATCGCATCAGCTTTGGCAAATGAGGCATTTTAGCAAGTACGTTATGACAATAGTTCTTACTTTTTCAGGAAAGAGCAGTTGTGAGAATACTGCACAGTTTTCTGAAGGCATGAACTGTTGGTTTTTTGCCTAAATTCAGTTGAGATTCAGAAGCTAGATTGCTGTCTTCAAAAGGAAGGTTTTACTGGTTGGAAAAAACTGTGTTTAAGCAGAACACGAGACCCCAGGAGAACTTTTCAACCCAAGTAGTGAAGTTGCCAAGGAATTCAGGTACCTCCAAAGTTATGAAGCTGCCAAGTACGATATCTGGATCATAACTATTGGTTGAGGTTATTTCTAGTTTTCTACCTGTCTTTGAAAATGCTAGTTTCCTGTTCCATCGCAAAACTGTGTTGAGACAGAGGCTCTTAAAAGAGCTTTACACAATGTGTGAAATGGGGGGGGATCAGATTTAGTTATTATTTTAGAATAGACTAATATGCTTTGGAAAAAACATTGTTAGACATTATTTATCATGTGCATGCTCCCTGAAGATGCTTAGATTAATAAGTATTTAAGCAAGTGATTTTATTAAGTTTTGAGAAGGGAAAGGACAAGAAATATGTGAAACTTCCAGTACCTGCCTCACCTATGACATTACTACCTGTTCTAGCTGTAAAATGTAAACCTAGAAATCTGGGCCTTTTAATGGTATGATTTATTTTCTTCTCAGGAGCTGGCATTACACAGTAGTGATATGTCTATTAGAAACATTTCCTTCATCTTGTGCAGTCAAATCAGTTTATGGCGTCTTGGCATCCTACCCTACATTTCTTGCTGGCTGTCTGGGCTACTCTTTTCTACCCGTCCAGTTTTCTGATCTAACATGCATCTGATTAATCTGGGGCATTCTTCTTGCAAGAATCTCTGTGGTACAAGCAGGCCTTTGAAGAGACTTGCTGTCACCTAATGGATCATATCTGGATGCCTAAAGATTAATTTGATGGGGAAACTTCAATTTGGGCCTCATTTACACAAGTGACTGCTTGAAATTGCCAAGAGCTCCCTGTCAGGCATCAAAGCTTGGCAGCATGAGTGTCCCTAAATGCTTTGGCCAGTTTCTGGGAGGCATCCAGTACTTGGGTTCCTGCAGCAGCAAGAGTTTAGCACCTGACCCTCAAGCCATGCCAGGATCTGAGCCAGCACTAGTGCAGTGTGAGGAGGCCCAGATTTCTAGCAAGCACAATATGAGGTGACATATTCCTGCCTTGTACAGTGCGGAGTAGGGTAGAGCTAATAACTAAGAAGTCTTACACCTGTATAGGTTTCACCTGTCTCCTGCTGAATTGTATGAATTCACCTTGCTCTGTATATACTGGCTCATCTGTGGTGAGCTGCAAGTTAGGGAATTTATGCATTAGCAATTGTATCTGGACTGTCATGTGCAATCCCCAGTTACTTTGTTTTTAAGGAACTCAGCTAATTCTGTATACATTTAATTTTTGTGTCTGCCCCTAACTTTTCTGTGAGAAGTCTGTTCAGGTTTTTTTTTCCTGTATAATTTACATTTACACCATGGGGAGGGAGGGGAAGGGAGAAAGCTTTTCTTCTGTTTAAACATTACTGTCTAATTGTTTAACTGGATATTCTAAAATGTGCATTATAGAATATAATGAATAATGCCTCCTTGTTCTCCTGTATACAGACCTGAGTCATACTCTTTCACAGACTCCTCCACGTACAGAAACCATTCCGCACATCGACATAGAGAGGCATTCAGTGTTGCATACACTGTGGTGCAACCCACTGAAGGTGTGTTCTGGGATTGATTTTCATGAAAGCCCAGTAGCTGGGTCTCTGATGAAGTCAGTGCACAATGCTAGAGATTTGCCCCACATCTTGTTTGTGAAGTTCTTGAGCAATGATCACAAGTCTGTCTGATCTCATGCTACCTATTTTCTTTTCTACAGATGCGGCAGCATAAAGTGCAAGGACAAAGAAATGTGCATCCACATTTAGTTACATTCAGAATGTTGTGTGGTGGGAGAAAATCTTACTTTGCTGCTACTGTGTGCATTGTTACTCTAACTTCAATGATCACACTTTCTTATCTTAGGTTACAGAGACCTTCTCACCTGCCAAAAATAATTTATGAAGTTAGCAAATGTAGAAGGGAAATTACCAATAGCACAATAACACCATTAACAGATAACAGAACTTTTATTGTATCCCCATACTTCGACAACAGAGGAGGCAAAGTCACTCGTGTGATTGGGATTGTTCACCATGAGGATGTAAAAGAACTGTTCTGCTGGTTCTGCTGTCAGCCCGATGGAAAGATCTATGTATCAAAAGCAACAATCGATGTTCACTCAGATAGGTTTGGGTTCCCTTACGGAGCAGCAGATATAGTTTGTTTGGAACCTGAAAACTGCGACCCAACGCATGTATCCATTCACCAGTCTCCACTTGGAAATATTGACCAGCTGCCAAGCTTTGAGATCAAAAACCGCAAGGCTGAGCCCTTCCCTGTTGACTTCACTGTGTGCATCTCTGCCATGTTTGGCCACTACAACAATGTCTTGCAGTTTATACAGAGCATGGAGATGTACAAGATTCTCGGGGTACAGAAAGTGGTGGTCTATAAGAACAACTGCAGCCACCTGATGGAGAAAGTCTTGAGGTTATATATGGAGGAAGGAACTGTAGAGATAATTCCCTGGCCAATAAACTCCCACCTCAAGGTTTCTTCTGAATGGCACTTCATGCATGATGGAACACACATTGGCTATTATGGACAAATCACAGCTCTAAATGACTGTATATACCGTAATATGCAGAGGAGCAGGTTTGTGGTTCTTACTGATGCTGATGAAATAATTCTTCCCCTTAAGCACCCAGACTGGAAAACCATGATGAGCAGCCTGCAGAAACAGAACCCAGGGACTGCTGTTTTCCTCTTTGAGAACCATATCTTCCCAGAGTCCGTCTCCACTCCCATGTTCAACATCTCATCCTGGAATACTGTGCCGGGTGTTAACATATTAGACCATGTTCACAGGGAGCCTGACAGGAAAGAAGTTATAAATCCCAAGAAAATGATAGTTGATCCACGAAAAGTGATTCAGACTTCTGTCCACTCTGTCCTCCATGCTTATGGGAACAGTGTGAATGTTCCCATGGATGTTGCCCTCATTTATCACTGTCGGAAGCCCCTTCAAGCAAACCTTCCCAGAGAATCCCTCATCAGAGATACAACACTGTGGAGATACAACTCATCATTAATTACGAATGTTAACAGGGTTCTACATCAAACTGTACTGTAAGCTCAAAAGTGAAACCTCAGTTATAAGGAGGGAACGTGAAGAGCTGCCTGTGTCGTGGGGAGGCAGAGGATATCATAAAATAGAAATCACTTCCATATGAAGTTTAAATCTTACAGAGATTTAGACTAACAGCCTTTTAATGTGTTGTAGGTAAATGCATTTGATTTTTGAACTGTGGCATGGTACCTTGTAAGAGTCCACAGTGATCAAATGCTGACTGATGATTTAAGTTCCTCAGGTAAAGTCTCTACTGCAACCTTTTAAGATGTGAGAGATGAGGCATAGTGAGAGGATAGCTCTTTTGTATGCCTGTAACTGTGAAAGGGCATTATTCCAGCCATAGGAAGTGTCCATGCAGAAATTTGAAATTTAATTTACCAATTTCCAGCTTTCTCTCTTTTCCCGTTCCTATCCTCATGGGTTTTAACTTGTACCATGAACTGTAAACTTCCTGAAGAAGGAATTAATTGAGTTTTGGTTATTTGTCTCTGAAGGACTTGGTGGTTAACAATATACAGCTGTGTTTAATGGTGCCTTTTAAAAGATGGCTTGGGACAGCATCTCCCAGATGAAGAGCATTAACACTCTAACCCATTATAATCACAAAGGCAGGGTAAGCAAACCCACCACCTATAGCACTGGAGCCGTCACTTGTTAGAGGTATTTCTTCTTAAGGGAAATGAGAATTCATAGCAGAGCCATGAGTCATTTCATGAAACCAAGCATCAATGCAGATGGTATTCCTTCTGGAAAATGTAAAATGAGGTTATTTTCACTAAGGAAAAATAAAAATCAGTATTTCTCAACTGATTCAAATAATGCAAAAGGCTGTGCAGAGTTTTCAACCAATGTACAAAAGATAACCACTATGGTCCTTAGTATTAATGTTGTTTAATTCTTGCAGTTTGTATGTCACTGTTTGGGTACAAAATTTCTATGTGCCCAGTTGAGTAAGAGGCAAACTAATAAATTGTGAAAATAATTGAGCACAATCTACCAGTTTCAATTGTAAAAAAAGAACCGTTTATATTCTTGTAACAAGTGTTTGTTCAAGTGGTGATGTATCATAACACTAAGCATAGCTGTTGCAGTTTTGCCGATCCAAATGGCTGCTCAGCTGGGGCTTTGACACATGTGATTTTAAGAATGGTGATCCCTCTTGTTGCCCACAGCTGTTGTGAATTCCTTAAGTGATAAGTGCTGAGTTGTGCTGGAAAGCTTTAAAACAGAGGCAGGGGCTACACATTAATGTTGAAGAAACTGTGAACTGAAAAGGTGGCTGTTTCCGGGTGGAAAGATGGATGGATGAACAACTACTTATGATATATAACAGTTGTTTTCTTTTTCTGTGACCTTGAAGCCTCCTAACAAACTGCTGCTTCATGAAAATTAGACACCAGGTGGATTTTAGACCTTCACGTGATGGGTAAGTTAAATTATATTGTTTCCTTATGTAGGTGCAAGGGTACAGAAACTGCATCTTTTCCAACCCTTATCTAAAAACAGTGCCAAGTAGTTACTAATGTCTGCCAAACGGTCATAAGGACAGAAAAGCAAACAAAACCCATGTGTTCACTGTAGTTTCACAAGTTCAGTTTCTGTTTTTTAAATGCTATGTGCATTGTACTGATGGTGTAATGTATTAGAACATTCCTATGAGGGGACGTCTGGGGGCAGTTGTAGTCTGATACTGATATGTGACAAATGTGCGTGAGAGCAGCTGTGCTTGGTTTAGTTTCGACACCAATGTCATGTTTTCAGTTGTTTTGAGCTGTCATTAGTGGGTTAGTATCATTAGCTTGCAAATGTCCAGGGGAACTTTCACTTGGAAGTCTTCAAGAGACAATCTGTAAATAACTGTTTGCTAATTGTGTTTATAACAATCATCAGCTGCTATGTAACAGGCTACAACTTCATTTGTAAAGCTAAAGGGGTAGAAGAGCAATGTTGTGTGGATTGGATGCTTCTCATCATGGTTTTCTGCTTGTATCCTCTGGATAATGCTTCCCCCCTATGCCTACTACCACTTTCCCTTCCCACCATTCTCTCTGGAAAGTTGAATTCAGCTCTCAGATGCTTTGTGCTCTGCCTCTCATGGGACTTCCTTGTGTGTGTCAGTGTTTGGTACTGGGCAATTGAACATTGGACTTGGGTGTGGCTTTGAGCACAGAGGTGAAGAATCCCTTCTCTTTGGCGTCTAGCTATCTACGTGTTAGTACAGCTCAGGGTAGTTGGCCACCTTTGCCACAAGGGCATATTGCTAAATTTGTTGTGCAATAGCATTCCCAGGTCCTTTCCTGTAGAGCTGGTTTCCCTCTAGTTGGCTCCAACGTGCCTGTTGTGTGGGATGTCTGTGTCTCGGGTGAAGGAGTTGCTTTGGCTAAACTTCATGAGATGTCTGTCAGCCTACTTGTCCAGTTTGTTGAGAAGCTTGGAATTAGGATTCCCTGATCTCTTGCATATTGATCGCTTGCCCTTCCCGTGGTTTCCCCTTCCCCTCCAAATAAATCAGTATTGTTGGAAACTTGCTGAGAGACTGCATCATAAAGGTCACTATTAAATTAATCAGTTCTAGCCCCTAAAGAACACTTCCAGTAAGTGGTTTGCAGTGTTTTACAGGTGGGCCATCATCACATGGCTCCTTTAGAGTTAACTGAGTTACAGCCCCCATCATACACAGTATAGTTACACCCACATTAAGAATGAGAACTGAGTTTCAAGGAAAGTTATCGAAGCTGTTTCACGTAAGCTTTCACTTTCCACTGAGAAAACAAAGCTCATTAGTGCCCCAGTCAGTGAAGGCTGTGAATTTGGCTTCCAGTGGGTAAAATCCTTGACAACAAACACATCTGAAAAGTAAGTTCATGTGAATAAAGGTGGAAACCAGTTCCTTGAGACTAGCATTGTATTCAAGAGACACTGTTCCACTGTGACTTCGTACAATTCCAGCCCCATCACCCAAATGCTTACTCTTGCATGTAAGAATTTCCCTTTCATTAGTATAATTTATACTGTATACATTTGGGAACATTGGCCTTTGTTCAGTGCCAAGTATGGAATTAGGTTTCCTTGGATGGTGGGAAGAAAAAAAAAATCACACAACAGTAATGCCGGGCAGTTTCAGCTTTTCAAGGATTTGAGCCAATCTGCATGAAAACTCATGTTTTCAAGTTGTGAAAACAAAGAAAGACATTAAGGGGACATTTTATTATAAGGGAGGAGGGGAAACCAACCTAAAGCATTTCTAAACCAGATGTTGTCATAGATACAGCTTTTAAGTACATGTCAAATACCACAAAAGTATGTTGACAGGCATTTGCTACTCAGTAGTTAACTGGTGTGTACATCAGATCTCCTATGATGATCAAAGCAAAAGACCTTTTCCTACTCCTATGCTTTTCTTCAGACTTTCACTTCTTATTTTCCCCCAGAGATGTGGCATTCTCACTGTTATTTGCCCCCACTTTCCAAATCTAGATGTAGCAACTACATGAAGTGCACGATTATCTTAAATGTAATGTCTGGAAAGAATGAATGGCTGCTAGACATCATTTACTATAAGAGAGTGATGCTGTAGAGATTGAAAATCATCTTCCCATTCATCAGCTTTCTACCTCCCTGTGAACTAAATTATGTTCTCACACAAACTATAGGAAATGTGGCCTATAAAATACTGGTCAAGCCATTCTGAGTTACCATCAGCAAATGTGATGAATACTCAGAGGTTCTCTAAGGTTAATTGTGATGGCAAGCTCTATCAGACAGATGAAAAGGTGGCTCATTCTCACTGAGGAGTTCATATTGACATGTTCCCAAACTTAAATTATTATAGTTAGCATCTGATCCTAGTTAAAGGACCCACTTGATTCCTTTATTTCAAAGGCTAAGTATTTAAAGCTATCATTAGGAAAAAACATTTTGAAGAGGATGCTGGAGAGAGAAAGGGTTTGCTGTCTTCCCATTTGCAGTGAGCAGCCATGCACTGTAACCAGTATTTGCTGTTACATGTACACAAGCCTATGGTTCTAAGATAGTAGCTTCACCTCCTGTTTCAACATCAAAAAACAGATCAGAAGTCAGGTCAAGCACTACTTCATTTCAATCTCGATGGTGGATTTGAATGGTTTAAATGTTACAAGCTATGCTCCAGAGCCCAAATAGGTATGTTTAAACATGAGTACAGACAGAATTTTGTGGAGAATACTGTTGGCATGCTGTATTGCGTTATGTCCAAAACAACCCATTCCCAAATGCCCAAATAAAAGTAAATGATTGTGCATTGCATGATGATACCATTAGGTGTGCAACTTTGGTTCATGCAAAGTCTCGTTTTATGGAAACGCTGCTGATAGTCCATAGATTCCTGAAGATGCTGCGCATGTGAGTGTCTCAGCAATGTTCTTTCCATAACACCAAATGGATACTATGGTCTGGCATACTGGTGGCAAAAACCAGGCCCATGTCATTTTGTCCATTAAGTCCATTTAACCAAGACATTTCACCAGCCAAAAAGCTTGAGCCTCTCTTAGATTTTCTGTACTCCGGTAGAGGCCAGCGGCTTATCAGTTTTTCTGTCCTCAAGTCCATTATATACAGGTATCTGTTATCAAACAGTAGAGCAAATATCTCTCCAAAGCCCAGCAAGGAAACATTTGAGAAGTCAGGAGGCTTGATAACCCTAGAATACAAGGCAACATCGTATTAACAGATGGTAAATTAGAATTAAACCTGGCAATATGCGTAGAGAAAGATGTTTACAGAATTTTCACCAATATTCAGCCTATATCTAAAATTATTAAAACTAGTATGTTCCACTTCTCATTTATTTAAATAGAAATATTAAATAAATATATATTCTACTTCTTATTTAAAGACGACTAAGTCTTAAACAAAGATTTACCTGAGAATATCATAGCTGGCAAAGTCCCACTGGTATAATCCTAGGGCTGAACTGCACACTATGTATTTGCCATCAAAGTGCAGCCTGGGCTGTAGGGAGATGCTGCGATCCTCAGAAACAGACAGTGTTTTTAAGCATTTGCAGTTTATTTCCCTTCCAATAGGCCAAATCTACAATTAAAACAGAGTTTAAGGCCATAAAACATTCCTGTTATAAACAGTTACACAGAGCAAGCCTCACAGTCTCTCTTTAAGCATCAGGTAAATGTGTGCATGTTTCCTCAGAAGTACTTATTTCCTTTAGGGAGTTCTGTGACTCATCTTACAGTGTTGTTGCAATATGTGATGTTTCTAGCCTAAAAAAACCCAGTGAAAATGGGCACTTTAAAGAACAAATCAACCATCCAATTGGACAAAAATGTGTTTCAGTTGTGGAGCACATCCATAGCCACAAACTACAGCACTCTCCCACCCAGAAGTCCCCAGCCGTAACAGTACTTGCAGTTAAGTGCTTTGCTGTCAAGATAGCACATTAAGCATGCACTGAAAGCACTTGGTTTTTGCATTACCATTCATGTAGAGCTGTGATTTAAATCTAAATGTGAAGGGAAGCATTGGAAGGTTCGCTTCCAAAGAGCTGCATGTCTTCTACACAACTTTACAAGCAGGGAATGCAGGAGAAAAGAAAGCTTTATATTATTTGTAAACTCCAGCAAAGCACTCAAGCATTTCTCTCGGTACTGAAATTATGTATGTATGAGATACGGTACACACCTTGATTTCATACTTATCTGCACTTAGAAGAATATAATCCCCAGGACTATGCATAAGAGATTTGACTTTGCACTTCTGCAAAACTACCTGTAATTGAAGGATGTAACGATTTATGTTGATGCTGTTAAATAACCAGACTTTCATTTGCATTTTTCATTTAATTGACAACCTGCATTCTGTACTCTTGTACAAAGGCAACTGTAATACTTTTAGCTACTGAAGGGAACCTACAGTTTACACTCTTCTTGTTCCTACTAGTGACAACTTTATTAATAAGCAAACGTGTGCACTTCACCTCTAGAACACCCCCCCC